GCACTCCCTGGAACTTCACCCCGTGGGGGCCTCTGTGTGTGCCGGAGCCTCTCCCCACCGCCAGCTGCTGCTCTGCCAGCTCGGCGTGCTCCCTCCCCGGTGTCAGCCCACGTGCTTGTCAGCTGCTCCGGCCCTCGGCCCCCATGCCGCGCTGTGGCCTTCCTTGCTGCCTTCTTTCAGTGTCTGAGTGGCCATTGCTTGTCATGCTTCCTAGCTGAGAGTCTAGCGAGACTTGGCCTGGTCACCTTCCCCTGGACCGAGGCAGGGACCCAGTTCACTGGCTTCTCACATCTTCGGTCCTGCAGGTCACCCTGCATTCTTCTGCAGACACTGTTTCCATTGGCCAGCCCCGTTCCAGCCCTCTGTGCGCTGGTGTAACCTTCTGAACGCCTTCGCTGCTTCTTCAAGGTCCTCTGTGTCCTACCCTCTCTGTCCAACCTTATTTCTCATATTAAGCAAAGTTCGCACAGACGCTAAAGTCTTCTCTGTGCTGGTTTGCCGGTTTGCCATTCACAATGTCCTCTCCTGCCCTCCCCTCTCTTTTGCTACTTCCTTCCTTGTCTTCAATGTTTGCCTTTCCCCATCTGTCTCTGGGAATCTTTTTTTTTTCTTAATCTTCACCCAATGATATTTTTTCTATTGATTTTCTAGAGAGAGTGGAAGGGGGGAGGGGAGAGACAGAGAGGGAGAAACACCGACGTGAGAGACACATCGATGATCAGTTGCCTCCTGCATGTGCTCCTGACTGGAATTGAACCCAAGACCCTTCTGTTTGCAGGCTGATGCTCCAACCACTGAGCTAACCAGCCAGGGCAGTCTGGGAATCTTAGTCTTCCTGACCCACCCCTTCCCTGCACCCTGAGAGGCCTCACGCTTCCCTCTGCGCCTCAGTGTAGGCAGCGTTGTCCTTTTACTTGTTAGTGGAGTTTCTTTTTTCTCAGAGGTTCCTGGCTTTTTTTCTTACACCTTTATAAATTATGCAAAACCCTGTTGACAGATACCATAACAGTAGGTTAAGCAATGTACTTCTATGGGTTGAATAACCAAAAAGACTGTTTGCCAGTGTCCCGTTGATTAAATGGCCGCAAGAAAACGTGCCTTGTTGCTCTTTTCATTCTCTTGTTTTATTTTTGTTTCATTATCCGGTGCAATTTTGAGTTGCCAACAGGGTATAACGTATTTCATCCCCAATGGAACGGGGTCCCTTATTTATAGTTACTTTTTAACCACTTTGCCAGTCCTGATGTGTAGGCAGGAAGCACCCAAGGAGTGTATTGGCAGGTCTGCTGCGGAGGCTGCTGTGTAGCAGCTGCAGGCGGGCGTGGGCAGCCTGGCCTGGGGCTGGGAGCCCGCCGTGCCGCTCAGGCAGCCAGTGCTTTGCGCGGAGTCGGTCAGAGGCCCGATGGGGGTGTGGGCTGGTGGGGAGGCTCCCACTCAAGTTCACTGAAGAGGAGGTTCTGGTGGCCACTGTATCATTGGTCCTTCTTTCTTGGTTTTCAACCTGTACGAGAGTGAAGCAGACAGCTCTGTATATTTCTCCTGGAACCACTTTACATGTTGTAACAATGCATATGATTACAATCCCCGAGAAGTACATTTTGATGTTAGGGCTGCTGGGCCTTTATTTTTTAGGAAAGTCTTTATGTGTATGTCATGAGCGCTGCATGGAAGATGGGTGCTGTATGTATCTTGAGATGTGCTAAGTCCCCTCTCCACTCAGAAGCCTGCCATCTGTACTTCTGAGCTCTCCCGCCAGCTGGGCGGCTGAGTCCGTCCTGCCCAGTGAGTCTCAGCTCCGGACGCCCGTTCTCACCGCCCATTCTCTCTTGGCTGCTGCCCCAGGCGCTCTCATTGGAAATCTGAACATGCCACTTGCTAGTTTAAAATTCCTAAGTGGCTGCACCTCACCTTCAAGAAGTTCAGGTTCTTGAGCGTGGTCCCCAGAGCCCTTCCCATCTGCCCCCTCCTTTCTCTATGGCTCATGGCGCATGTAGGCCCCACACCCGCTCCACACCTCGCTCTTGGGGTCTGGGCAGTGTCCGAAGGTCACCTGTACACCAGCCTGCGGGATCCCTGTCCCCTCTTGCTCTCCTGTCTGCCTGGCTGCTCCGGTGAACTGGCCGGTTCCCTTCTAGTTGGAGTCCCGCTCTGTGCGCCGCTGCGCGCTGTCACCGCACTGCTCACTGTGCACTGTCACCGCACTGCGCACTGTCACCGCACTGCTCACTGTCGCTGCCGCTGCGCACTGTCACCGCGCTGCGCGCTGTCACCGCACTGCACACTGTCGCCGCACTGCTCACTGCGCACTGTCGCCGCACTGCTCACTGCACACTGTCACTGCTCACTGTCGCCCCACTGCGCACTGTCACCGTGCTGCTCACTGTCGCCCCACTGCTCACTGTCGCCGCACTGTGCACTGTCACCGTGCTGCTCACTGCGCACTGTCACCGCACTGCGCACTGCGCACTGTCACCGCACTGCGCACTGCGCACTGTCACCGCACTGCTCACTGTCGCCCCACTGCTCACTGTCGCCGCACTGTGCACTGTCACCGTGCTGCTCACTGTCACCGCACTGCTCGCTGTCACTGCGCTGCTCACTGTGCCTTGCCCGGGTCGCTGGCTTCCCCTGCGGGCCTGTGTCTTGATGGAGCAAATCCAGCCATCTTGCTTTTTATCCTGAGCACATAGGAAGCCCTCAGAAATAGATTTGAGTACCGACTAAGGGATCCTCGGAATGTCCCCATGGAAACTAAGTCCCATCCCCTCCCCAGCCCCTGGCGAACACCTCCCCTTCTCTGCCTGGTCTCTGAATATGACGTGACTGTTCCCTCTGGGAGTGGCATCATACAGTATTTGTCCTTGGTGACTTGCTTCCTTCACTCCGCACGGTGCCTTCAGTGTGTGGTAGCGCGTGTCAGAATTCCTTCTTAAGGCTGAATCACTTATTTCACGCACAGACTGCATTTGTTTATTCATCCCTCAGTGGACACTTGGGTCGCTTCCACTTGGGGCCATTATGTTTATTGTACAGTTTTAACCTCTAGGTTTTAACTATAATGTCAACCAAAAATAATTGCGTACCTCTTTAGGTTTTTTATTTGTCTTCTATATTTGATAGATTCCAGATCTAAAAGACAAGTTCCCGAGGAGTTCACTCACTGTACCTTATTCCATGCAGTCTAAAGATATCTTTAATTTACATCTCACGATTGCCATGCTGTTAGTTTCTTAGCAAAGAAAGACCAGCGGCTAAAAGCAGGTAGAGGATGAGCTAGTGGTGACCGCTGGACGCAGAGGGTGGGCCCTGGGGCAGGGGACGGAGAAGCAGACGCTTCAGGGCCTGTGCGGCACAGCCCGTGCGGGAGGCGTGGAATCAATAGGACGTGATGGATGCCTTCCTGATGGGTGACACCAGCTCCTGCTCGCAGCCCCCTGACGCGGCAGTTCTATTCTGGCTCACGAAGCCAGATCATATGTCCATCGCTCATCCCGCTCCTGTGTGTGGGCAAACACACGGCAGCTGCGAGGCTGGCAGCTGTGCTGCCCGGACACCACGTGCTCTTCTGAAGTTGCCGTTTATTTTTCACGCTCCGGGAAGGAAGACGCGCTCTT